AGATACTGGCATCAGTCTGATGTATTGAAATTGGTCGATACTGCTAGCTGATAGTATAAAAAATCAGAAATTTTATTTTTCGATTTTTAGAGAGTTTTATATGACCTACAACATGTTTTAATTCATGATTAAATCTGGCCCGTAGATCGATCTTTTTGGGATCTTTTATTTCCCACAAAATAAAAACAATGTTACATCATTCCGCTAGTCGGCGGCAGCAAGCTTGGTGTCGGAAACCCCCCCACCTGCTCGGCAAGTGACTCAGAGTTTAGACAGTTATCAATATTGGTGCTGGCAATATTACCCAGATATCGATCGATATTAGTGCTGGCAATATGAGCCAGATATCGATTATCAATATTAGTGCTGGCAATATTACCCAGATATCGATCGATATTGGTGCTGGCAATATGAGCCAGATATCGATTATCAATATTGGTGCTGGCAATATGAGCCAGATATCGATTATAAATATTAGTGCTGGCAATATTACCCAGATATCGATCGATATTAGTGCTGGCAATATGAGCCAGATATCGATTATCAATATTAGTGCTGGCAATATTACCCAGATATCGATCGATATTGGTGCTGGCAATATGAGCCAGATATCGATTATCAATATTGGTGCTGGCAATATTAGCCAGATATCGGTTATCGATATTGGCCAAAATGTCCATAACGTGCACCTTTAGGAAACATATGAAATAGCTACAGACAATTACCAAAAGAAAGAACTTTGGTACACACCAAACGTTGAATAAGCTTGCTCATGGGTGAACAAAAGATGGATCCGAAATAAGCAAGTTCTGCAGAATGTACTTAATCCACAGCAGTACAGAAATGCACTGATGAGATGACATGTAAACAAGGGGAAGTTCCCCATCAGCAGCTCAGGCAGGGAATCCTGCTTTCAATGTTCAGGTGCAGGAAGACCAACCCGAGTGGAGCCTCCATGCAGCTTGTCATGAGATTCAGTAACACACTAAATACTGTATGTTTACCTAGAGATGCAGCTGTGCTGAGAGGGGACAGAGGATAAGCTACCTGTGCTGCAAGTTCAGTTTAGCCATTTCCCCTCCTGCACAGCTGGGTCAAGAACAGAGCGCAATCTGCTAGGGATGGCCAATCCACATTTTTTCAGTTTCAATCCGATTCTGGTACACAACTGGAAATAACAATACAGCTCTTTTTACTTCAATATTTCAATATAGTAAATATGTATATAAAATATATAAATATTTATACTTCATATATTATTAATATTATTAAGCAAGTAAATACAAATGAAAGAAATCTTTAATTAGGCTATTAGAAACATACTGTTCCACCTCATTTGTACGTCTTGATTTAAGTGTTTTTTCAGGCATTTGCAGTTCAGTTGGAATAACTGAGTTAATGCAAGTGGCAAATACTTGAAATGGCGCACAATTTTTCTCCCCCTGGCAATCGATTAACTTAGTTGCGATAGAAGCCCCTCCTGTACAACAAGCTGTTGCAAGTGCACATAACAGCCCCAGCTAGTGACTCCCAAATCATCCATGCTTTTTTCATATTACTCGTGTTGTCTTGCACAATTGCATGTGCTTTGTTTTGTGTTACGAGTTGTTGTTAATAGCATAAAATACTTCCAGATCATCACCATCTTATCTGATGTTCTTACGCTCCTCCTTCCGCCACAGCAGGCGGAAGTCACTGCGCTCACACCCACTGAATGGCAAAAACACTGTTCAGCAGGAATGCCACAAAAAGCCTTATCTAAAATGGGAAAGAGCTGTTGTGTGATTGTTCAAATCGATTGAACAAGATATAGGAGTTATCTTTTTGCAGACTGCTCGAAAGCTAAATAAGCAAGTATCGGACATGGATCGGTCACATATGGCCAATACCCAATAAATCTAATAGGTATGGATCAGTGTCAATATCAATCGGCAATTTCCACAATCTGCATGTTCAGTGAAGTGCTATAAGCACCACTCCTCCCTAATCCAGATCTGCAAAGACTCTCATACCATCCTACCATGATTTAAAAACCGTTATCCCACCTTTGCCTCTCAATTCTGCTACTTCACAAACCACACTGAGAAGCCTTAGGAAAGATTCCGGCATTATTGCATTGTGCTTCAGAGTAACTAATCTATCACACATATGAAGACAGCACAAAGCAAGGCTTATTTCTGGCTCCTCACTGAAAACCACCACACAGGGCTTCATCGCAGCAGTCACGTCCTTATCAGCAAGGGCTGCAAAGCTGCTGAAGGGAATGATTCAGGTTAGCAGGCAACAAAATCCTCAAGACAGAAATGGCATTAAGTCCAACTCTGAATGTAGGGAAATCTCACCTTGTCCAGCACATTTCAAAATGCCTTTTTCTGTATCTTTGAAAAATACCATGCTCTGGAAACAGCCGAGAACAATGTAATATACTTTGTTAAAAGATTTATAATATGCAAATGATAAAGTATTTTATTTCTAAAAACACTGCCAAGGCTATAAGTTTTTAAATGACGGGATCTTGGTTCTAGGCCTTATACTTTGTGGATTCTGTTTGATCAAAAACCTCCACAGCTTTTTACTTCTGAGCAGTATGTTAAGAACATAAGAACATAAGAAATTTACAAACGAGAGGAGGCCATTCGGCCCATCAAGCTCGTTTGGGGAGAACTTAGCTAATAGCTCAGAGTTGTTAAAATCTTATCTAGCTCT